GGGTTGAGTATCAACCTCACTTAACCCGTGTCCTGCTATTGGGCACTGAGCTTTAGTCTTCGGTGCACAAGTTCTACATCCACGAGGAAGGCAGGTTTAAAGCAAGGGCCTTCCTTGCCTGTGTTTCCCACACCCTCATTGCCAAGACCAGGAAGCGACACATCCCGGCAAGTCCACCATTACATGTCCAAACAGGACAGTTCGGGGGGAAATGGGAAGAGTTAACAGTGAGCGTCAGGCACCTCAGCTGCATGTGCTTCTGTGCACGGCAAACACTTATCTTCCTGCATCGCAGCTGGGTACACCTCTGGTTCCATTAACGCTTTATTTTGTGGCTTTCACCAGGTACTCAGTCTCTTCAGTTCATTAAAGTATTTATCTTCTAAAAAAGCTCATAAATATTAGCTGATATTTTTTGAAAATTTTTAGTTTTTTTCCCCCCAAAGGAAGATATACACTGAGTGGCCAGATTATTATGACCACCTGAAGTTTGTAGGCAAATTAGCTATAATTTCCCACTGAAGTTGCTAGAGGGCCAGATCATTATAAACGTCTGAATAGCACAACATACCTAAGTATCACTGCTGATCAAGTTCATCCTATCATGCTGATGGCGTATCCCAATGGAGACGGCTTCTTCCAACAAGACAATGCGCCATGCCACGGTGCTCGTATTGTGCAGGAGTGGTTTCAAGAACATGAGGGAGACTTTACCTTGCTTAGGTGGCCCCACAATCACCAGATCTCAATCCAATTGAGCATTTGTGGGACGAAGTTAAAAGAGCCATCAGGTAGCTGGTTCCACAACCATCAAATCTCACAGAACTGGACAGTGCTATTCATCAGGCATGGTGTCAGATTCCTCCCATCACCATTCAACATCTCGTGGAGTCAATGCCAAGAAGAATCATCACAGTATTGAAGACAAAAGGTGGCCCAACGAAGTACTGATGGGTGGTCATAATAATCTGGCCACTCAGTGTGTGTGTGTATCTACTAATAAAAGCCTATGTGGTCGTGACGCCCTCATGCCATCATGCCCTCATGCCTTAACAACCCATCACCAGGAGGCTGCATGTGCAGCGGGTGTGAGTGGGTGGGCAGGACTGAGTCCCTGGTGGTGACTTGACCAGGAGGTGCATCGGGGGAGCGGATGGCGGCTGCCGCCACCACTGCCCAGGGCCAGCCCAAGACTCAGTCAAGCCACAGTGGCTGCGAAGCCCGAGGCTCAGGCAGCCTTGTGACTGGCAGTGGCAGCAGCAGAGGCTTGATGGGGGCACCACCTTCCCACAATTGGCCGGTGGCCTCCCACAGAGTCGTCAGTAGGATGTACTCTGAGGGCTCCTGGACTGTGAGAGGGGGCAGGCTGGGCTGAGGGACCGCCCCACTCAGTGCACAAATTTTTGTGCACCAGGCCTCTAGTGTGTATATGTATATACTCATATAAATATTTATATAAAGATATAAAGATATAAAGGAAGATGTATATTTATATATATACAAATAATTAGATATTTAGCTAAAAATGCTCCTTTATCAAACTGTTCAAACACTTATCATAAATCTTATTGAATTTGCATCAAACAATTATATGATCACATCTGATGAAATGACATCAAGATGCTAAAATAAAGCAGAGGAGGAGGGAAGAGGCCTGATTCCTGGTTAGATTTCCATCCAGTACCTGGAGCTGACAGTCAGCCAAGGAAAACAGGTGTTTCAGCTCAAAGGCATCCCTGGCTGTCCCTTCTGCAAAGCAATTCAAGGGTGACCTTGCTTTGCAAAAAGGTGACTTTGAAATGGAAAACCTGTGATGTCACCAGGACGTCGCAGGGCAGGCGGCACCGCAGAACTAGGTGGTCCAGGCAGTGAAAAAAGCTGGCTGTGCACGCCCCTCTTGACGGAACATAAAGATCTGTCTGGTTATAGAACCACCTGATGCGAGTGACACACATTAACACAGGTCCAGGTGTCCAGGCCCCGAATCCAGCCCGATGTGGGGAGGAAAAGGAGTGGCTCCGAAACCCGCACGCCCTGTGGATTGTCTCTCTGTGCCGTGGGCTCGGCGTGGGCCCCTCCGAGCACTGCCCGGATTCACAGGACATGGATGTTTCCATCCCTGGGAACCACGGATCCCCCAGGGACATCACAGAGGATGTGGCTCCTTCCTCCTTCCTCTCCCGTCTGAAAGGAGCCTGTCCCCGTGGTAGCCGCACTGTGAACTCCGAGAGCCAGCAGCACACAGTGGGCCTCCTCCCCCGTCCCCTTCTAGACCACCTCTGGGCGGGGCCACGTCAGATGCAGAATGTGAAGAAACCCTCCTTCCCACCTATGACCCTGGGGTCAGACAGCCAGGTTCGACCCTCAGCTTTGCCAGTTCTATATATGTATTTATTCTTGTCAGAGAGGAGGGGAGAGGGAGAGAGAGAAACATCAATGATGAGAGAGAATCATGGATCGGCGGCCTCCTGCACACCCCACCTGGGGATGGAGCCCACAACCCAGGCCTGTGCCCTGACCAGGATCGAACCGTGACCTCCTGGTTCATTGGTCGATGCTCAACCACTGAGCCATGCTGGCCAGGCGATGCTCTATGATTTTTAAAAGAAACTGTCACAGAAGTTTAGGACTGAGATCTGACCTCTAAAATCTACTACCCTGGAGACGATGACATCATGGAAAGAGCGCCTGAAAGTTCTCAGTAGTTGAAATACTTCCCAGGAAGAGGAGACTAGTGAGGAGACCATATCTTTTTCCGGGTCTCAGGAGTTTCCCTGAACTTTCTGTCCCGTGTCAGAGGCAGCTCGGCCTCTCATGGCCAACACCTACCTGCTCCGTCCCTCAGCCCCTCGGGGTCGTGCCTGTGCCTGTGCCTGGAGCATCGGGGTCACTAAAGGTGCCTCGACATTTAACTAGAGCCGTGCTGGCTTCCTCGGCACAGAGGGACTGGCTCAGAGACGACACCAAACTCACTGGCCCCACGAGGAGGCACGCGAGCACGGGCGCTTTTCTTTCCAGCTTCCTGTTTGCTCCACGGTAGGCCAGTTCGGCAGGGACGGCGCTGGTTTCCCTGCGACCCCGGCGGCTGGCAGGTCTGCGGCCGGTGACCTCCTCATACAGCGTGGCCCGTCCTGGTCTGTCTGGAAAGCCCTGGTGTTCTGTCTCTTTTAAAAATTAGCAGCTTACTGTGCATAGGTCACTTCCAGTTGCCAGGAGCTGAGAAGGCCTCTGCACGCGTGAAATCTAATCTCCACGACCTTCAGTGGAAGGCCCAGGAGGCAGATGGGACATGGCAGGGACTGGCCGATTCCATCAAGTTCAATGGTCACTCATCAAGTTCAGTGGTAAAGACCAGGTTTAACCCAAGAGCAAAGCATCTAGGCATCACCCCCAACCCTTATGGTGGCTCCCACTTTGATCTCAAAGCTGAGAGAGAGAGAGAGAGAGAGAGAGAGAGAGAGAGAGAGAGAGGTGGGTGGGTGGGGGCTGTGCGCACGGCCAGCGCGGCTGAGTTTGCCTGCGAGGCTCCAGGTGAGGCTCAGCCTGGAAGTCACCGGGAGCATCTGCCAGCGGCCTTGCTCCCGGAGCCAAGTTCCTCTTGTGCAGCAGCCGCCGTGCGAGAGCTGGGCTGCTCCCCCGCTGTTTCTCATCACCCTCCCTCTGGAGAGGCCTTCTCCCGGGGCATGGGGACATCGGGACATCGTCTCCAGCTGGGTAGTAGCCGCGGGAGGAGAGCGGGGGCCAGAGGAGGAGAGTGGGGGCAGAGAGATGTTTAAAAGCTGCGTGTGGAGACCCTCCCTTCTGCAAAGTCATCTAGTCTCCAGGCGGTGACTGACGGCTCCTTATCTCAGGAAATGCTCGGGCCAGTGGGCTGTGGCCACCAGTGACGAGGCAGCTTCACACGGGGTCACCACAGGTCAAACAGGGCGCGGAGAGGACATGGGAGCGGGGCGGTGGGGGGGAGGGGGTCGACTCCAGGAGGCTGGGGACCCAGCAGGAGGCTCAGGGGAGCTGTGGCAGCCAAGTCTGGGGGCCTGGCTGACCCGCTTCAAGGAGATCTGGGAGGGAGCAGCCGCCCTGGGCTGAGAGGGGGTTACAGATCCACGGAAGCAACTTTAAATCAGCCACGGGAATGGCTAGACTTTCACACACCGACAGTGCCCAGTGCTGCTGGGGACGGGGAGCCGGATGCGCAGGCCCCACCACTGAGCAGACACTGCTTCAGCCACTTCCCCGGAGACGTGCGTGTTCCTCACAAAGTGAACATGCACCTGGCACAAGGCCTTTTGTTTTTTTAATCCTCACCCAAGGATCTTTTTCCCGTTGATTTGTTTAGAGAGAGTGAAGGGGAGGGAGGACGGGGGGGTGGGGGGGGGAGAAACATGGATGTGAGAGAGGCACATCAATAGATCCCCTCCCACATGCGCAGGACCGAGCCTGCAAGTGAGGAGGCACATGGTCTAAGGGCTGACACTCTAACCACTGAGCAAAACTGGCCAGGTGCAATTCCCCTTCTTGGACAACACGGGTTCGAGCCGTGCAGGCACACTCACACGTGGATTTTTTTCAATAAACACATTGGGAAAATATTTGGAGACTTGCGACAATTAGAAAATTATTGCAGATTCACATTTTCTGATGATCACTGCAGTTAGATAACCACGTATGAAAGGAACCCTATTCAGCCACTTAAAATATAACGTGAAATAATCTGATTACAACCATGACCACAGTGATATATCGCGGACAGAATAAAGTCACGAGGGGGATGGTAGGGGAAGGGCATGACACGTCTGCAGTTTATTCCTACGTCCCAGTGAAATCCCCGTCAGGATTCAATCCTATAACTAACCTCTAAATTGAAAATATGAAGTGGAACAGGTGCGTGCTTGGGCGTTCCTTGTCACGGTAGGAGTAGTTCACACGTGTGCAAAGCAAATCGTTTTCTTCAAAAAGAAAACTGTTTTCAAATGACCTTTTATAAAACGGAACCTGCTCACCTCTTCGCGGTGGTTCTTAATCGGCATACAGAGGATGCTCTGTGTCCGGTAGCCGGTGATCTGGTCAACCTCTGCGTTGAAGCGAGGGTCCTAGGAAGGAAAAGGAAATTCGCTTTAACGACTGACCTGGTCAGACACTGATTTGATTCTCCCAATCGATAAGGTTAGAGAACTCTAATCGTCAGCTTTCCTTGCTGGTCTGCACGCCGATCTTATTGTTGGAAGAGGCCTCAAATCACGTAAGTTCGTATCATTCTTGACAAAGATAAATCTAAGTCTTTTTGAGATGCTAATGTGTATGAGAACCAAAAATAAAAAATACAGACTCAAACACCATGTTCAGAAATAAAGGAAATTCAAAATACTAACGGACTTCGACAGCCTTAGTTACATCCGGGCCATGGGGCGGCTCCGTACCTGCATGCAGCTTGCCCCTCCGATAGCGCTGCCACATTCTTCCAAGCCACCCCAGGCCCAGCGTCGGAGCTTTGAAACTTGTCCTGTAAAACCACCGCCCCCCACACGACCTCCCCAACATCGCCTTCACTTCCGGGGTGACGATGGCTTACACGTTTCCTCAGCATCCTGCTCTACTATCTCAGGGGTTCACACAAATTTAAATCTTATCCTTTCTTCCTTTTTTTTTTAATATGTAAAAAAGCCATCTGGCTCTGGCTGGTGTGGTTCAGTGGAGAGAGCGTCGGCCTGCAGACTTGAAGGGTTCCAGGTTCGATTCCAGTCCAGGCACATACCTTGGTTGCAGGCTCCTCCCTAGCCCAGCCCTGGTCTGGGCTCCTCCTGCAGGAGGCAACCAATTGATGTGTTTCTCTCACTCGCATCAATGTTTCTCTCTGTCTTTCCCTCTCTCTTCCACTCTCTCTAAAAATTAATGGGAAAATATCCTCGGGTGAGGATTAAAAAAAGAGAAAAAAGCCATCTGGCCTCAATCACACTGCAAAAAACTCCTTAATCTTTTGAATGGTTTTCCTTTTTCACAAAGTACACCAGTAGTCACAAGGGACTCTGGGAGGTGCGACAGGCCTAAATGCGGGTGGAGAAAGACAGGTTCAGGCTGTTGGCATTAAGCTTTAGGGTGGGGAGACGAAAGGTAGGCTGTCCACCCAGGAGGGGCTGTGCTTGGTTCATCAGCGCGGTCCCCATAGTCCACAGCTTGTGCTAAATTAACGAGAGACTTCATTCACCCTCGGCCTCATCCTTATCAAATACGATGACTCTTAGCTTGCTATCCTTCAAAGCAGACGCAGAGGCGGTGCTGGTGGGAAAGCATGCTGGCGGAAATGGACAGATACCGCTATACAGGGTGAGATTCGAATGGAAACACACATACCAGAACATAAACACTGGAATGAGTGCAGAGCGTGGCCTGGGAAGTTATAGGCTCAGCCTAATAATAGCATCGCTGCTCTCCCACGCCGCGTCTGGAATTCCTTCAGAGAACAGGGAAGAGCCAGGCTGGAAAAGCGCGTCTGCGAAGGTCACTGCTATGTCCTGTCATTAGTCTAACGTCGTGCAAAGCCGAAGCTGTAAGTGAGGTAAATGATTGCACCGGATTCACTCAATTGGGGTCAGAAAGGAGGCCAATTTCCCCACCGAGAGAACCAAACTTGGCATTAAAGACAATTTCAAAGGGAAAGTTATGAAATGGTGGATCGTCGGTATATTTTATATTATAAGTAGTCACTACTGTATCTGTGCCTTCTTCTTGCAAATAAGCTGAAAGTTATATTGAGACACAGTGGAAACCTTGGCCGAGGGTCTCTGAGAAGTAGTTCTTAAATGACACTGAACTGCAAAGTATCTGAAGAAGGCAGACAGGATACGGACATTGATGAATTAAAGAAGTAGAGAATTAGCTCTTGCAGCGAGTTATTCTATATCAAAAGTGAATTAAAAGGCACCGTCCGCAGTTGTTTTGTTAATGAAGTAGGAAGCTCTGAGCGGCTGGCCCACGCAGGGCGGGGGCGGGGGGGAGGGGAGCTGGGAGGGGTGCACAGAGCAGGGTCAGGGGACTGAGTGGTGATTCATGTCAGGCTGAGAGGCCTGGCAAAGCAACCCGCTGCTGGTTGAGAGCAGATGGTGACACGGGTCGGGAGGGCTCAAACCCTGGGAGGGGACCCCGCTCAGCACTCAGGCACTCAGTGGAGACATAGCAAGTGTCCTTAGGAGCAATGACCAGGCCCTGGATCGACGCTACCCAGGAGGGACCGTCCACAACACAGCTGGCCTGCATTCTTCTAAAATACCAAGGCAGACAGAGAATCAGGGAGAACGCAGCCCCGAGTTAAAGGAGACGAAGGAGTCGCCCAGTGTGTGCAGGGCGTGAGATGAGACCCTCGATCCGAAGGAAAAGATAGCTACAAAGCATATTAAGGGGACCGCTGACCAGGTCTGACTACAGGCTTTTAGATAACAGCATCATGTCATAAAATTGCCTGACTTTTTAACATTTTTTTTTAATCTTCACCTGAGGGTATGTTTTTTAAATTGATTTTTAGAGCAAGAGAGAGAGAGAGAGAGAAACTTTGACTGGCTGCCTCCCATAAGTGCCCAACTGGGGACTGAACCTGCAACCAGGTACCTGGCCTGACTCGGAACCGAGCACGCAGCCTTCTGACTATGGGATGCCGCCCCAACCCACTGAGCACCCGACCATTTTGCTTGTACAGAATGAATTCTGAAAAATATTCTCAGATTTCATCCACTTAAACTCTCCCATCCCTCCACAAATCCCTGCCCTCAGTATTTCTCCCCAGTTACTATTATTTAGTTACTTACCCACCTTCAAAACCCAAGCCCCCTACCCCCCCCTCCACCCCCCACCCCTGCTCTTCTGCTTCCATCTCCTCTGGGCAGCCACGCCCAGCAGCTTCTGCTCCTCATGGAGACCCACTCCCCCTCACCTTTGTGGCCAGTGCCCTCTGCAGACCCTCACTCCCCAGGCAGTTAAAATCCTTTCTCCTCCCACCTCCAGTGTTTCCCTCCACGTAACTTACGGCCGCCATAGAACTCATCGTCCCAAGCACAGTCTGAGTCATAGGGTCCCCCTCGGACCGCTCCTCCCGCCCTGGGCCACGTTCCCTTCCTCAGCTGGCACAGGGGACCAGTTCCCTCCGGCTCTGCCCTGCACCTGGCACTGGGGACCTGTTCCCCCAGGCTCTGCCCCGCAGCTGGCATGGGGACCCGTTCCCTCCGCCTCTGCCCCGCAGTTCTGCAGCGTCTGGACATGACCCACACATTCCCATACAAGCAGCACGTCCAGCAGAGACGGGGTCTCCGCTTGAAAGGTCCTTCTGCGCCCACCGTGCACACAACTCCATCCACTCAGGTCTCACCTGCTGTCCAGGGTCCACTCCCCAAACAGCGGTCACCTCCTGCGTCCCTGCCCCCACCCTGTTCCCCAGCGTCTATTACGATCCTCTCTCTAGTCTATTTATCTGTCTTCTCGTCTATGATTTTTGCGGAACCAGTATTTATAAAGATGATGGGGCACCAGGCACTGTACCCGGCGCCAGGGACACGGGGTGAATAACAGAGCGATGGCCCCTGGGGTTACACAGAGGAGCGGCAAGCGGGGCAAGCGGGGCACCCTGGGCCCTTCACGGGGTGGCCCGCTACTCCACAAGCTAACGGCTACTCCAGCTAGAAACTATCTCCTCCACATCCCACGTGCCATTCCCAGGAGATGCTTTGCTTACAGCCTGCAATTCTACTAGCGAGAGGATCGTTTTAAGTGTGGAATTTGAGGGATTATAAAGTCTAATCTTTAAGTCCATAAGTAAAGGCCCGCATATACTGTAGCAGAAGCGGAAGAAATTGCAAATCTTTCCACGGAAATATCTTAGGCTAAAAAGTCCCATTTTAAAGGCGCCCAGAAGTTAATTTGCTTAATTAAAAATGGGAGAAAGATCGGAAAGAAAGAAAATTAAACTTCGGTGTCCAGGGAGCTTTGAGTGGATGAGTATGAATTTGAAGGAATGAATGAAAAGGTCTACAGAGTTTTTGGGTTTTTTGGACAGTTTTTGCACCTTTCATTTTAGAATCTCAGGAGAACCCCCAGGAGTGGATGTGGAGGGAGTATAGCTGGGGCTACGTTCAGAGGTCGGGTAAGAGCTGAGATCAGCTAGGAGAAGGGCTGCGATCAAATCCTCGTTAGGGAGAAAAGCAGGACAAGGCCCACTCAGTGCCTTATCCCTGACTCAGCCACCAAACACTCTTACCATAAAGGCAGTTTCAAATAAATGTGCAAATTATTACAATGCAGTTTCAAATATCCCCACAAACCATAGTGCCACCATCCACAGCACTGCCCAGTGCCCACCATCCCCAGCAATGCCCAGTGCCCACCATCACCAGCACTGCCCAGTGCCCACCATCCCCAGCAATGCCCAGGGCCCACCATCCACAGCACCGCCCAGTACCCACCATCACCAGCACTGCCCAGTGCCCACCATCCACAGCACCGCCCAGTACCCACCATCACCAGCACTGCCCAGTGCCCACCATCCACAGCACCGCCCAGTGCCCACCATCCACAGCACCACCCAGTGCCCACCATCCACAGCACCGCCCAGTGCCCACCATCCACAGCACTACCCAGTGCCCACCATCCCCAGCACCGCCCAGTGCCCACCACCCACGGCACCACCCAGTGCCCACCATCCCCAGCACCACCCAGTGCCCACCACCCACAGCACCGCCCAGTGCCCACCACCCACAGCACCGCCCAGTGCCCACCACCCACAGTGATGCCCAGTGCCACCATCCCCAGCACCGCCCAGTGCCCACCATCCCCAGCACCGCCTAGTGCCCACCATCCCCAGCACCGCCCAGTGCCCACCACCCACAGCACCGCCCAGTACCCACCATCCCCAGCACCACCCAGTGCCCACCATCCACAGTACCGCCCAGTGCCCACCACCCACAGCACCGCCCAGTGCCCACCACCCACAGTGATGCCCAGTGCCACCATCCCCAGCACCGCCCAGTGCCCCACCCATGTTCCCACCCAAGGCTCCTGCCCTGCTCAGGCTCCTCCTCACCTCGTAGGCGTCCTTGATGTTGAGGGGCTCGCCCCGGGCGGCCACGTGCCCCACGATGCCCTTGTTCCACTCCAGGCGGATGCAGCTGCTGGACGCCTCCTCCAGGGTGGAGCCCTCGGCCACGTCGAAGAGGCGGCTGACCAGGAACTTGTCGTTGGAGCTGTCCTCGCAGACGAGGAACAGCGAGTAGCGGTCGGCGGCGATGAGGCCGTGGATGTGCAGGAAAATCTTGTGGCACAGGGCGGTGACATCCAGGTGGCTGGCGATGTCCTTCACCAGGTCCAGCAGCCGGGCGCACTGGTCCCCGTCGTCGCGGTCGAACCGGCGGGGCGTGAGCGGCATCTGCTGCTGCTTGTCCGCGTCCGAGAGGAAGCTGACCGCACCCTCCGAGTCCTTCACCACGATGGGCCGGAGCGGCCGGTCGAACTCCGAGGCGGAGATTTTGCGGGTGGGGGTGCCCGGGGCGCTGCCCTCGGCGCGGGGGCTGTGCTGCGGGGGGCACGGGCAGGACTCCGCGCGGCCGCGGGCGCCTTCCTTGCCGACGGGGATGGTGTGGACTCGCTCAGCGAACCAGGCGTTGACCATCTCTCTACAGGACAGAGCAGGCGGTTACCTCCTGGCCAGGGACGGGGTGCCCGAAGCTGCAAGCCCCCCACGTCAACTCACTAGGTAATAATCCACTGTCATCGGGAATATTAACAAGCTGCCTTACTGACGACAGCTGCATCCTGAAAAAACTACGAGGACCAGTGGTCCAAAGGACATTTTAATTAAATATGATTTTAAATATGATGTCCATGCACATAGTCCAGATGTCTGACCTAGAACACACCAACATCAAGTCTGCTTCTCTCAAAATCAGCAGGTATTCAAGTGTAAGCCGGCATGGGACGGCAGTCTCAGGAAACATATATGTGGAAGTTAATCTGTCGTTTAAAACACACGTGTTCTGCAGTTAAGTATGTGAAAGTTAAAAGCAAGGGTTTAGCTAAATGTGGCTCGCTCACAGGCCTGCTTTTAGAGGGCTTTCTCTATATCACTACACACGGGTTCGATTTAGAAGGGGAAACAGACAACAGCAACAACTTGATGTGGTTTGCAGGAAGACTGTAGACGTCCGGGTACATTCCCCGGACGATGCCCGCTCATAGCAGCACCTTTCCCTCCTCTGGATCATCCGCTGGTGGGAAGGGTGAAGACTTTAAAGCAGGCAATACCTAAGTGTGAGCATTCAGCCCAAAGATTTAAAATCACTCGTCGTTCATGTGCCCTCCTGTGACGGAAACCTACTAAATACCACATCACACACACGCAAGGCTTGGCTGATTCAAACACTCCCCCTTGCACAGCTGTAATCTCACACCAGGCGGCATGCCCTTACTTTAGACATTTTAAAACTCTTCTTTCCAGGCTAACTTCTAAGAAAATTCGTAAGCCGCAGAAGAGCATTATTTTATCTAAAAGTTAGACTTGTTTCTCACTAAGCCTCTCTCTCCAAACAAATAAGTAAAACAAAATCCACCCCCCACCCAAACCTAGAGTGACAGCTACGTTAAAATCTAGGTTATGAGTAAGTCGCGACTTTTTCCAGAATGAAAATTTACCTTCTAAAGAGAAACACTTGCTTCCACTGCAGATACTTAAAGAGTTTGCCTGTAGTGAGAGCAACGCGGCCTCCACGCTAGAAGAGCATACAGGCTAATCGCACCAAATGCCAGGAGAGAAGAGGTTGGGCCAGGCACTCCTTTGAGGAGTGTCGCGATACAGACACTCACCAGTCTCTCAGGTGGTGGTAGAAATGGACAGCACCTCTTGGGAGGCAAACAGGCAACATCTAACACATTTTAAAATGCGTTTATCCTTTGTTCCAGAGGTGGCACGCCTGTGACAAAGGAGGGACCCAGGGGAGTTGCTGTGCACGGTCGGTTATAGCAGAGAACAGAACAACCTAACCCCCAGCGGAAGGCTGGCTACATGCGTCAGGGCACGTTAACGCGATGGGACGAGAGGCAGGCGCGGAAAGATGGGCGCATGTGGCGATGTGAATGATGGCCACCACTGATTCAGTGAAAAAAAGGATGTGAAAGAGGGGGAGGAAGAGGCTGCCTCATTTCTGAGTTCATTATGGGATGTTCCCTTAATTATTTTATTTTGAGCAAAAACACATTGTTTGGTGAACGAATCTTATTCTGAAATGCTCCCGGTCTAGAACGGAATGGGTAAAGAAGGTAACAGATGTTATAAGGAATACTCACAATTTCAAGTGATGGATACAGTTACTAGTATAAAAGCCCTTTAAAGCTCTCTCTTAAAAGTAACAGAGTAGGTAGGTCTAGTGTACAGACCACAAGCATATACAGTACCTACAGCACAGAGTTTTAAAAAATGCCCGTGTCCTGCCCTGGCTGGTAGCTCAGTGGTTGAGGATCACGTCCGCTGCCCCAAAAGGTTGCAGGGCACATTCCTAGGTTCTGAGTTTGATCCCTGGTCAGGGCCCGTATGGGAGGCAACCGATCAATGATTCTCTCTCACATCTCTCTCTCTCTCTCTCAACATATCCTCAGATGAGGATTAAAAAAAAAGTAAGTGTCCTAATGTTTTATAAATTCATGTTGTGGCTTAGAACAAACAGTGACAACAAAGTGCACTGATTAAAATAATGCCGTATCTTAAAAACGTAGATGTGAGGGTGCCATACTCTGGGAAAGGTTACTGTACCCCCTCAAAATCGCACTGTAGGGTCAGACATTGATGTCAGAGATGCATGAGCCGGTCAAAAATGCAGGAGACCCCGGAATAAAACTGTCTTGTAAAATGTGAGACAGGGAGAAAGCAATGTGTCTGCAAGAACATAAGTCACGAGACTTAAAACATATGTGCATGGAACTTACACTGGTCAACCAACATAAACATAGGCATTTTAACCATTTCAGCTACAAGCCCCAACCTTAGCCACAACTATCTTACCTGCTGATTGGAAAGTAGCGATGAGCTTTTTTCTTTTTTAATCAAACCATCTTCTCTCCCAATCTGTTCATTTCCACCTCCTGCCCTCCACGTGGCCAGAGCCCTACCACGCCTCCCGGAGGTGGCCGTGGCCCCTCCTGCCCCCCACCTCCCCTGTATTATACTTGCCCCTTTCAATCCTCTCTCCACCCAGCGACAAGTAATCTTGTCACAAAGTGGATTTTAGCATCTTTTGTTGTTGTTGTTAATCCTCACCCGAGGGTATTTTTCCCATTCATTTTTAGATTTTTAGAGAGTGGAAGGGTGGGAGGGATTAGAGCAGCGGTTCTCAACCTGTGGGTCGCGACCCCTTTGGGGGTCGAATGACCATTTCACAGGGGTCGCCTAAGACCATCAGAAAACACATATATAATTACATATTGTTTTTTGATTAATCACTATGCTTTAATTATGTTCAATTTGTAACAATGAAAATACATCCTGCATATCAGATATTTACATTACAATTCATAACAGTAGCAAAATTACAGTTATGAAGTAGCAACGAAAATAATTTTATGGCGGGGGGTCACCACCACATGAGGAACTGTATTAAAGGGTCGCAGCAATAGGAAGGCTGAGAACCACTGGGTTAGAGGGAAGAGAGACAGAGACAGAGAGACATACAGAGAGAAATAGCAATGTAAGAGAGACACATCAATTGGTTGCCTCATGCATGTGCCCCCAGCCAGAGCTGGTACATGCCCTTGACTGGGAATCGAACCCGAGACCCTTCAGTGTGAAGGCTAGCGCTCTAACCACTGAGCACACCAGTAGGGGTGATCTTAGCATCTTCACTACCCCACTTGGCTTCTCACTTGAACTGAGAATGAAACCCAAACTCAAGCGCACGAAGCTCTGCCTGTGCCCAGTCTGGGACCCTCTCCCCTCCCATCACCCAGCTGCTCTCAGCTCCCACCCCCTGCTCAGCCAGGCCTTCCCTGGCCCCACCTAACATGCCTCCAGCCCAGCCGGTCCCACTCCACCGGCTTCTCACTGAGGGACACTGTCCTTGGTTATTAACCCGCTGGTGCATCGCCTGTCTCCTCCCACCAGACGTAAGTGCCACCGGGGCCACCTGTCCGTCTGACTCCCTCCTCAGCCCTGCACTTACAAGGCGCCTGCCACACGCTATGTCCTCCACGAGTAGTTCTTTCTTTAAAAAGATATTTTTATTGATTTCAGAGAGGAAAGGAGAGGGAGAGAGAGATAGAAACATCAATGATGAGAACTGTGGATCGTCTGCCTCCTGCACGCCCCCCATGGGGGACGGAGCCCCCAACCTGGGCATTTGCTCCGACGGGGAATCGAACCGTGACCTCCTGGCTCATAAGTTGATCTCAACCACTGAGCCAGGCCGGCCAGACTGAGCTCAACAAGTAGTTCTCGAGTGAATAAGTAAAAGGCCCTAGCGAGCTGCATCGCAGGAGCAGCCGTCTGTGGGTCTGAGAGCCAGCACACTCACTGCAGAAACCAGCATCGTGTGCAGCAGTTACTGCTCACCGCCCTCCTGCGGAGGCCGCTCCCTGCGGGGCCTGGTGCACGTCTCAGACAGAGGCGGGGCTGGCACACTGGTTCTGGGTCTTTGCTGCTATGTTTAAATGATCTGAGTGCCTGGAGGGACATGTGTGCGCAGGAAAACACATGTTACGATGACATCACAGCAGCCAATTAGGGATCAGCCACAAGGAAGGGGAAACAGTCTCGCACGCCCTTCCCTTCCCTCCCCTCCGGCGGCCCTGGGAGCTGCACTGGCATGGCCTGTGGCACAGCCTGTGGAACGGCCTGAGGCCCACGTGGCTACTGGAGGAGATGCCAGCCTTTTCTCTTAGACCAGTGGTCGCCAAACCGTGGTTTGCGAGCCACATGTGGCTCTTCGGCCCCTTGAGTGTGGCTCTTCCACAAAATACCACATGCGGGCATGCACGTACACTGCGATTGAACTTCGTGGCCCATGCGCAGAAGTCGGTTTTCAGCCTGGGCGAGTCTATTTTGAAGAAGTGGCGTTAGGAGAAGTGGGGGGTGTCGGTCGGTCGGTCGGGCGACGGGATACGCAGCGCGGGGGAAGCGCTCGCGATTCATGCACGAGTTGAGTGAGCCAGTCAGTCAGCAGTCTCATGTGCAGTGGTTAGTGCTAGTCACATCCGCAAATCGCCCACGGGTGACAAAAGTACCTACTCAAAGCATAAAGTTACCTGCATTTTTCCAACCAGCTGCAAATCCTACAGGTATTTTTGTCATCAATTTAAGAATTGTAATTATTTTGTGTTAGTGGCTTTATTATTATAAAATGAGGACGTTTCTAGCAAAGGCCAGCTTAGGAGTACCCTAATCTACACTAATAAAAGAGAAACATGCAAATTGGTGTCACTCCGCTACCCTTCCCATTGGCTAATCAGGGCAATATGCAAATTAACTGCCAGCCAAGATGGCGGCCAGCAGCCAGGCAGCTTGAAGCAAACATGTGGCTTGCTTGCTTCAGTGATGGAGGACTCTAACGTTCCCCGCCTGCCGCTGCCGGCCTCTGAGCTTGCAGTCTGAAACATTGTTACAAATATAGAAGCTAAACAAAACCCCAGAAAC